GGGGGGGGGCTGGTGAGACAAGAGAGATACAAAGGAGGGGAGGGGGCTCGTGCATGAGAGATGGTGGGTGAAATGTCCTCCAGGGTCTCCTACCTCCTCTTCATACAGTGCCATCCCGCGGGCTGAGCCCGTGGTTCCAGCCCTCTTCATCTGCGATGGGGAAGAGAAAAAGAGGGACTGCAGTGAGTGACCAGAGCAGGGAGAGGCACCATCCTGCAGCAAACAGCCCCCCGGGGCCCTGCCCACACCTGCCAGCAACTCAGGAGTGGAAGAGAGCTCAGGTATCTGATCTGCTCCACCTCAGCAGACTCAGGACCTCACCTCCAGCACTGGGGAGCAGAGCTCAGGGGCAAAGCAACCTGCCCTCTCCTCCACAGTGACATCTGCCAGCAGATCTGTGGCACCACAGAGGTCCCCAGAGTTAATTCCCCTGTGTTCTCCTGGCTTTGACATGTCATATCATCACCCAGAATGAGTGGGAATCCATCTCCTAAAGATGTCAGTGAAGTCAGGCACCCCCAGTTCTTTGCTGGTGCCTACTCCAGGCTCACCACTAGCTCCTCACATGCCATGTGTCAACAATATTAATGGTAGCAGAAAGAAACTTCACACAAACTCACCGGTATTACTCTCTCCAAGCAGATGTTGAAGTTCTTTTTCTGGTTGGCTTTGAGTTTTTTCAAGGAAACTCTAGTTTCTCCAATAAACTCATTGTGGCCAAATTTGTCTTCATCACACACAGAGATCCTGGAGGGAACAGGAAAGGTGACCATCAACCTCAGCCCAAGGAAGGTTGGCTTGGATGCTCTGTGTGAGGAACCCCGGGGTCCCCATCCCACCGTGGGACACCCCAGCTCCTCTGCTTGCCTGAGGGTCTTCCTTTGCATGTCCTCATCCGTGATGCCATGGTAGACCAGGGTCTCGTTCCACACGGGGTTCCGGGTGTTGCGCAGCGTCTTCGTCCTCAGCTTGTTCGACTGTGGCATCAAAACCAAACGTGGCATCGTTGTGTTGTTACACCCCAGAACTTCTCCCCACCAAAATTCAGGCTCCCAGCAGTTGTAAAAGAGACCCTCCATCACCTCTGGCTCACAAGAAGTGGTTAGATGGGGACAGGGAGGACCCAGCAGGATTTCACCATGGAGGTTGTTGCGCCCGTGAGCCATCAACACCAGGTGAGCATCCCCAATCAGGTGCTCTAAAGTGGACCTTTTTGCAAGCACCAGGGCTCAGCTGCCTGCAGTGGGCAGGGTAGCCCTCACCTCCTGACTTTCACTGTCTGGGCTCTGCTCCCTCAAGGACACTTGAAAAAGTTGCAGGGGGTAGGTTGTGCAGGGCTTGGGTAACAGCTCTTGTGGCCTAATAGATGACAGGTTGGGAAGTCAGGAGCTCTGCCATTTTTCCTGTGTCTTTCACCCCTTGAGCACTGAACCAGCAGTGGCCAACCCTTCCTTCAAGGTTTCCCCACCAAGATCAGCTTAGTTGGGCTGGGGAGCAAGATCTCCAGGGCTTGCTTTGGTGGGTGAGTCAGAGTTTACTCAGTGGTTGTTTCTTCACATGTTGCTCTAACAAGAATGTGCTGCAGCTTCAAAGCAAACTGATTGTTCCAGCTCTGGTAATAATTAGATTTTGTGTCATATGTTTTGTGGTGCATTAATAGTGTCACTTCCTCTGGAGCTCCCCTCCATCCCTAAGCAGATCCCTGTCTGCAGCCCATGGGAGAGCAGCTGCAAGAACCACCCCTTTTCAGAGACACCTCCTGGGTAAAACAGCAGGAGCAAGGGAGGGGAATCCAGGGGAGGAAATCTGATGTGAGGAAGGGATCTCAGGGAGCCTCTGCTTTATCCAAGCCCAAAACTCATCCAAACCAGGCACCAAACCTCACCTTGCTGGCCCCAGGCAAGAGATGCAGTTTGACATAGGGATCTGCCAGGCCGTTTGAGTCCATTGGCTTCAAGCCCTAAAAGATCATAAAGAAAACATGGTCCATGAATCCTCCTTAGACAGAGCCAGGGAAGAGAAAAAGCAACTCAGTGGACAAACTTCAGCAGCTCAGGTGCCCTCAGCACAAGGACACTCACTGCAGGGGGATTGGACTAAATGACCTTTAAAGGTCCCTTCAAACCCAAACCACTCTGTGGTTCTATGAACATACACTCAGCAAGCCCACAGCTGTGTCCTCTGCCCCAGGCAGGCATGGGTGCCACCATGAGCTGGGTTTCCAGGTGGAGCAGCTTCTGCCAGAGGCCAGGCTGCTCCCAGACCATCCCACTGGGGAAGCCAGGAGGCAGATGAACTTGGGTGAAAAAAAGGGATCACTTACTTTGGCCTTGATAAGGGTGCAGTGCAGAGAGCTGTTCTCCTGGTCATAGAGCAGGCTGAACTCCAGAGCTCCCAGCGTGGCTGGCAGTGGAGGAGGGAGAGAGGAGTTGGGAAAAGGACCTTATTAAAAACCCCAGCCAATAACTGGTTGACCAGCCCTGATTAGAGATAATTAGAAAGATTTGTGGCTCAACTGTAAAGCCATTTCAAGCACCTGGGTCTGTGCTGGCATCAGCCAAACTGTCACATGCAAAGCCAGGTTCAGGAGATCTGCTCAGGGCTTTCCAAAGCTGGACCTGTCCCAGGGTCAGGGAGTGAAGCTGGGGCTTTTGAGCCCATTTTAATCTTTACCAGGCAAAGGAGAATGTTCTTCCCACCCTGGGAGGGACCAGTCTGGGCAGGGAAGTAATATCCTGCCATGGATGCTCACCCTCATGCAGCAAACTCCCTCCTTTGGGGAGCAAAAGACCAAACACCAAGATCTAACAGTGTAAAGGTATGGAGGCCACCAAGCCCTTCCTGCAGACGGATCTGGTGGTGATGCTGGTGGGCAAGGCTGCTCTGATGGAAAGAGGCAGCTGCCTTCAGGGCTTGAATTTGGAAAGGGGAAGGTGGTGAGAGCACAGAGCCTAAACCAGGGTACAGCAGAGCCTGGTGATTTGGTGCAAAACCAGCGTAGACCCCATGAGCTGCACTGACCTGCCTGAGCAGGGACAGCCCGTGAGACCCTGCCCTGGCTGCAAAGCCCCTGCCCCAGCTCTGAGCCCCACAGGGCAGCAGCATCCCCAAGGACCCTCCCTGCTGGAGACCCATGACCTTACAGTAGGAGTCACAGACCCACAGCAACCACCACCTCCTCAAAACCCCACCTTTCCCATAGAAACCACCCCCTCCAACCCCCCCCCTCAGTACATACTGCCTTCGTCAGAGTCGTAGCTGTTGGCATCCTCCTCCTCCTCCTCCTGGGGCTGCTGGCGCAGTGGGGCGGGGGGCTGTGGGGCAGGGGGCTGCCGGCCCAGCCTCTCCTCTCTGCCGGGGGGCACAGTGTAGCCCCCTCCTCGCTCCTCCCTGGCAGCAGCACGGGCTGGCTCCGGGGCTCCCAGCGGGGGGCTCGCTGTGGGAGAGACCCCGTTAGCCCCCAGCACCTTCTGCACCCCCCAGGCCCTCACTGCTGGTCAGATTTTACCTTGTCTGTCTGGGAACCGGCCGGCTGGGCCAGGAGCTGGGCCAGGAGCTGGTCTTCCTGCTGCTGGAGACAGGTGGAATCATGGAATCATTTTGGTTGGAAGATCCTTAAGATCAACCAGTGCAACCGTTCCCTCAGCCCTGCCGAGGCCACCGCTGACCCACGTCCCTCAGCACCACATCTACATGGCTTTTAAGATCCCTCCAGGGATGGGGACTCTACCACTGCCCTGAGCAGCCTGGGCCAGGCCTGACAACCCTTTCCATGAAAACGTTTGTTCCCAATATCCAATCTCACCCTCCCCTGACAAAACCTGAGGCCATTTGCTCTTGTTTTACCGCTTGTTCCTTGGGAGAAGAGACCAACCTCCCCCCTCCTTGCTCCAACCTTCCCCCTCCTTGCTCCAACCTCCTTTCAGGCAGTTGTAGACAATGAGGTGGTCTCCCCTCAGCCTCCTTTTCTCCAGACTGGACACCCCCAGTTCCCTCAGCCACTCCTCACAAACCTTGTGCTCCAGACCCTTCCCCAGATGCAGCGTTACCAGGGTGCTCACCTGAACAACTCTCCATCCCTCTCCCACCCCAGCACTGGCATCATCCCAAGCAGAAGAGTTCCTGCCCATGACATCAGGATGTTCCCTCCAGGGACTGAGCATCCTGGCTGCATTCCCATCCCATCCTACCTTGGGATGCTGCTGGAGCAGGAGCAGGGCTGGCAGTGGCTGGTGGGGGTGGCCGTGGGGCTTGCATGGAGTTCATCCTCTTCACCCCTGCAAGAAGGGAGAATTAGCAACAGTGTTTTGGGTCCTGGGGGCTCTGCCTGTGTAGAGGAGGGGGCTACAGCCAGAATCAGCTGGGGAAAGGCAGCCAGAGGCAGCAGAGAGGAGAGAGGTTTGGCTGGTGGATGGAGGTGGCTGAGATAATGGCTCAGCCCCACAAGAATTTGGGGCCCGTGCTGTGGGGAGCAGCTGCAACTCAGTTCCCATTTGACTGTGTTTCCACTCTGTTGACAATCAGCCTGGAGAGTGCTGAGCCCACCCCCTTATGCACCTGCAGCTCTCAGGTTATACATGTGGCTTATCAAATTCATGTCCTTCCATGGTCATAAGATGCCTCTTTGCAGGAAAAAGCACTGCAGGACCCTCCCACATGCAGGGGAAGGATCCCCACCCATCCATGCCCCCCATGGAGCCATGTAAGACACCAGACAGGGAGCAGGTGCCAGTGCTCTATGATGTGAAATCATAGAATGGTTTGGGTTGGAAGGGAATTTAAAAAAGCATATTGTTCCACCCCCCTGCATGGGCAGGGACACCTCCCACCAGCCCAGGTTGCTCCAAGCCCAATCCAACCTGCCCTTCAACACTGCCAGGGATGGGGCAGCCACAGCTTCCCTGGGTCCCCATAGACCTGTCTTTGTAGCAGGGGTGTTCCAGTCAAGCAGGGACAACCCCTGTACCTTCATGGCCCAGCCCTTCCCCTCCCCAGCACACAGAAGCTCATCTCTCACCAGGACTCCTGCTGGCCCCACTCTCAGTGTGCTCACGGCTCTCGGGGTCCCCTCCGGTGTCCTCATTGCCACAGGGACCTGGCCTGCCCTTGGTGTAGCTTCCCCGGGCACCCACGGTCACATCACTGCCTGCAGGGAGAGCAGTAGAGGAGCTGGTGAGTCTGGCCCCCCAACCACCCCCTGGCCCCTGGGTGACACCTGGCTGGGGGGTCAGGAGGAGGGAGGATGGTCACTGCAGCATCAAACCAGAGCCTCAGGAACTGCAGCCCGCTGGTCCTGGCAGGGCAACAGGAGGGCTCTGCACCACCAGACCTGCACACCGTGGTTGGGAAAACCCAGAGGACAACCCAAAGGACACCAGGAGATACAAGAGCCCAGCAGGAAAACAAGGCCAGAAGCATCCATCAGCCATTCCACAGCTCCCAGCTAACCCCCCAAGCCATTACAGCTCCACGGTCCCTGGCACAGGGGGATCACATTTTCTTTCTGCTGATCCCCTGCCATTTATTAGCATGATAAGGGTGACAGTTGCCCTCACCTCCCTCTGCAGCCACCCTGCTGGGGCTGTCCTGGAGGATAAATCCCAGCCACACACACCAGGGTGCCCAGACTGCTCCGTGGTGATAAATCACAGCCCACGGATGGGATGGAAAAGATCTTGGCACTCACCTGGCTTGTGATGGAGATGCCAGGGATAAATCTTTGCTGTGACATAAATGGGATGTTTATCCTTGGCTGGGCTCTCAGGGTCACCAGGCACAAGGAGACAGCAAAACACAACAGATTGTGGCAGAGGGGGAAGAGGAGGCGGGGGGAAATGCCTTGGTGCTGAAGAGAAGGGAGGGAACGAGCATCCACAACCAGAAGCCCCCATGGTGCAGAATTAGAGATGCAATACATAATTTTCCAAGGGAGCTTTAGGAAAATCACAGACATGCAGATCACCAGGAGAGACCTGGGGAGCTTGGCAAGCCCTCCCCGACTGCTTTTAAAGAAAGCAGTTTGTTGTGGGGCCAGGAAGCTACCAGCTACTATTGCTATTAAATAGTCTTAATGAAGTGGTTTCCCCAGATGCTGCGGCTTGGGAAGATGAAGATCATCAGTTGGCACAACCAGGCTGGGCACAGCCTTGGTGAAGCTCAGCTGGAGCAGTGAGCTGGAGCATGGCTACCCCCCAGGCATCCCCCTGTGGGTATCCCAACCTGATCATCTCCCAGCTGGTGCTGGAGGAGCTGTGAGGAAATGTCATCACCTTGGCTCTCCAGTGCCAAGCTGTGAAAATGGGCTACTGTGCAAAACTGACGCCCTGGAGGCAGTGGGACCCCCAACCCCAGCTCCTGGTGGTGCCAGTGGCAGCACCCAGAGGATGCAGGTCCAGAGCAGGGTGTGTGAGGGGCTTGAAACTGGTGAGCCCTGGGGAGGAGCAAAGCTTTGCCCCTGGAGGCAGGAGGCAGGGATCGCTGCTCGCTTACCGCAGCCCCCTCAGCTGGCATTGCTATTTATAGGGACAAAACCACAGCCCTGGGGGGGGCTTCAAGTACTGGGGGGCAAGGGGTGACCCTCAAAAGCCACCCCTGCCGCCTTTGCCTCGGTACCCGTGTGCTTAGCACAAGGCAGCAGCAGCTCCGGCGGGGGGAAACCGGCAGAGCCGAGCTCTGT